ATATATATATATATATATATAATTTAGGGAAAATTTACATACATGCCACTTAATTCTTATGTATTTACATATCTAACACCTAAATTTCAATTTTTAAATATATGTCACCTTTACATATGTATGAAAAGGTGTATTTCATTTTTTTAAACTAAAAATAGTGGTAGATTAGATATTTAGATGTGATATAAAGGATTTGGGTGGCACAAATGTAAAAATCAAAATTTAGGTGTATATGAATTCGATGGAATGTATATAAACACCCCAAAATTTATTAAATCATATTTAAATCTAATACGGCTTCACCGCCCTCCATCCCATCATGAATCTGTCGATGCCTGTCATGAATCCTTTGCTTCGTTGCATTGCTTCTTCGCTAATTCACTGCCCGTTTTTTCTTCTGCTCACCAACAGGTGACTGTTAGGTTTTCGAGTTTCAACTTTCATATTGACTCTTTGCAGCCTGCACATGACGTCGGGGCCTATACCCTCTTCAACTCCTCTCAACATCAGCCAATTAGGTACACCTTTTACCTCATGTTTGTTCCAAACATCAAAACGAAACACCGCTTAGGTGAAAATTCCAGAGTTTAGGATGATATTAGGAATTCCCAAATGTTGTATAGATGGTCATTCAATTCACGCGCATTTTCTCCTCCATACATCTCTTTTTTTGAGCCATCACTATATATTGCTAGTTTTTAATTAGGGAAAGCAAATTTTGCTCCAAAGGAATCTTGAAAGAGAGATTGGTCCTTAAAATTTTGAAACTGAAGATTTCAGGTTAGATTTAGAGGATGACAAACCTTTCCTTAAAGTTTAGAAAGCAGCGACCTGCATGACATTAACCTTGATTTCCTTGTTTTACCATGGACAACATAGAGCTTTGTAAGATTTATGCTTACACTTCATTCTGATAGTCTTCTGTGTTGAGTGTAAATTGATACATGTGTGTGTGAGCTTTTTTATTTCTCTATTTGTATTGATTGAGAACTAAAAAATCTGCAAGACAAGATGTCTATGATTTCGGAAAAATATTTCAAGTTTCATAGACATCTTTTGTGAGTGAAACTATTCTGCAATTAAGGTGATAGTGAAAACAACTCATAAAACTATTTAAAAGCATGGATCACATAATTATCAAGAAGTTTAATGAAAACTTCAATAGTTCTATTCTGCACATGTGAATTTGACGTGGCAATAACTATGACATCATCATTTTAGTCATCGTGGTTGTTGCCCTCCCAGAATTAAATGACTGCCAATTTGTTGTCAAATCTTCTGTAATTCAATCTTTGCCCACTCTCAACTACCAATGGAGCCTATGTTATAAGCATGACGATACAGTTAGTGCTCAAATTTTTCTTCCGCCAGCTCATTCAACAATAAATAATTTCCTATATTCTATTGTAGATTTTCTTTTTTTTGTGAGCACACATGATTTGTCATTTACAATTACATTCAATTTAAAGTTATCTAAAATCGAATTTTTATGTCTACTGGGAAATGCCTTGTAAAGAAACATGAGTTCCGCTAGAGATGCATCTGGAAGTCGTGAAGCCTCAACTACCTCAAAAGTAAAAGAAAATAAGCCATTGGAAAACATATCAGTAAGCTGAAGGTAGAGAAAATATTACATTTAAATGTGAATATTGTGGTATCACTTATAAAGGATCATATTCGAGAGTAAAGACTTGCTTAAGATTGATGGTGATGGAATAAAAGTTTGCCCCAAAGTACTACAGGGTTTAGGGTTTAATGAAATGCAAAAAAAAAAAAAATCAACAAAACTGAGTTAAGAATCAAAAGTATGATTCCAAAAGAGATACAACTACTAAGTACCCATGGGTCATGTTATTCTACTTCTTCAATTCAAATTAATGATGCTAGTGTTAATATCAATTCATTTAGAATGAAATGATACGAGCCTTAAAAAAATTTTGTTGGAGATAGTAATTTGGAAAAGATATTTAATATACATATACGATAACAATTAGATGAAATTACAAGAATAGTTTTTTCAACTAGTCTCCTTTTTAACCTCGCAATAAATTCTTATTATAAGAATACTTTTACTTTTGCATGTAATAAAAAATCTTGCAAGTTATATTCCACATCAAAATTATTGCAGAGTGAGAGAGAGAGATTTAATATTGAAAAGTTCTTGAACCAACAAAAAGTAGATGAAAAGAGAAATAAGTTAGTTTAGTATGTGGTGGTTGGATTGGTCCTCAAAGAATGTCACTTATTAATTTTATGGCAGTATCAAAATATTATCTAATGTTTATTAAAGTTATAAATTGTGAGGGGCAATACAAGATAAATTATAAATTTCTAATTTATTAAAAAAGTGTTAGTGTTGGTTGGACCTTTAAATATTGTTCAAGTAATTATTGATAATCCTTCAATTTGTAAGACAATTTATTTGCTTGTTGAGCAAATATATTCTCATATTTTGCATAGTTCATAACCTTAACATTGCCTTAACAAACATATGTGTTGCTAAAAATATTGAAGCAAATGAGATCACACACAATAAATATCATTGGATCACAGTGGTAGTTGGAGATGTCATTTTGATAAAAAAATTTATTATGAATCATTCCATGTGACTTCTCATATTCAATGAATTCTCCAAACATAAGATTTTTGTTGTTGTTGAAATTAAATTTGTTTCAATTATTGTGATATTAAAAAGATTCAGTGAATTGTTCAAAATTGTTTTAAAATTGTGACCCTTTACAACAGTGAATTTAAAATTGGGATATTAGTCCCTAGGTTGGGATATTAGTCCAAATTATTTTGAGAGTGTAACCCTTTAATGCAGTGAATTTTTTTTTTACAGTTCCAAGATTGTCATTTCTATAATCCAGTGTCATCCATGCTTTTTCATTAATTGCCTTTGCACAAAAAAGGCATCCACCGTAGAAATATTTTGGTATAAAATCAAACTAGTTATCTAATATCGATGCCATTTTTCTACATAAAAATTAAATTCTTTATCTTCGATTATGTATTTATAAGCCTCTAATTCCTAAAATCATAAGTGCTTGAACCGTTCGAAGTATTTGGTTCTAAGGTTTTATAGAGCAAAAGCTTTATTTTACACCGCAAAAGATAATATATTCAAAAACATCAGATACCTAAGATTAATTGTCTTAAAGATCTCATCATGAAATACTTGGTTGCCTCAATTCCCATCTGTAATTTAGATCTTGTTGTGAGAAACTATATAGGAATCCACATATGACTTCAAATTAAGTGACCCATAAAATATTTGTGGGTCATTGCAGCACCCGAAGATGAAAAGCTGCAAGTGGCACAAAAAAGCAATTGGGAAACTGCATGTACATACACGTTAAACCACCAACATAGCACAAATAGCTGGAGTTGCAGTAACCACTAGCTGGAACATAATAATACATAACTAAAACCCACGGGAACCTTTGGGAACCAAATTGCAGAGAAGACATGAACCTCAGGAGCGGAGACTATGGAAATAAAAGCCACAGAAACATTATTAAAAATCATAGTTATTAACACAGATTTCCTTCTAAAAAAAATCATAAAATCATAACCAAATAACAAATTGATTGCCCATAATAAAAAGAAACCCTTCTTTGAAGTAAGAGACCGTTTGGGATCACTTTTATTTTTTATTTTTTATTTTTATTTTTATTTTTATTTTTATTTTATTCTAATTACCTTTTGATTTGAAGCAAAACAAGTTTGGCATATTTGATTAAGATATAATTGTTTTAAAAAGCTCAAAATACCCAAAAATCGTTTTGAGTCTTTTCAAAGACATGTTAATTTGTTTTTAGAAACAACAACAACAACATGAATTCTTTTTTTCCAATGCGCCCTATTGAGTGTCATATTTTCATTTAATTCTAATAAATTAAGATCATCTTTTATACAATATGCCCAAGCCTTTCTAGGTCCACTTCTGCCTTTCTCAACATAGTCGAATCTAAAACAACTACGCTCCTACTCGAATCATCAAATGGTCAACGTTTAATGTGGCCTAACCATCAAAGATGACTCTCTCTAATTTTATCAGCCGCTGGAGCGACACCAACCCTACCACGGATATATTCATTTTGCATTTTGTCTGTAAGTGTAGTAAGTGTAATCTGTAAGTGTAAAGTCACTCATCCACCTAAGCATTCTCATCTCGGCAACACTCATCCACTGGAGCTACACCTAATTTGTTTTCAGAAAAAAATAAAAATAAAAATATAAGAGAATACACTAAACAAACATCTTTTTTAAAACAAAAGAAAAGACAAAAAAAAAAACAAAATTGATCCCATACAAGCTCTAAGAGTTAGTTTCGCATAAGATAAATTAGAACCAATGTCCTCTGCTCTCCAGAATATAATGGATGTGTTTTTCGAATGGTGGATTTAGTTTTGATTAGTAGGCTCATCGGCATGGAATTTATTATGTACCAAACCATTCCCGTAAATATCATCACAGCATGTCCTGAAATAACTGAATTTAAAATTTTCAAGATAAAATAAAAATTAAAACTAATTAAAGTTGAACTGATCATTAAATTGCAAAACATTACCAATGAGAACACACAAGTAGATCTCCATCAAACATTTTCATGATGAAAACACAGAATTCAGCATATAAGAAAAATTTTCATGCAAAATTCACCGCAACAAAAAGAATTACTGAAAGAATCATAATACAAATGTTGACAATTAACATTCAAAGGAACTATTTTCTTGACAAAAGGATAACAACGACTGAAAAAAAACTTTTATCGCATTGCAAGTTTACAGCTAGAAGCGAAAGGACCTTACCTACTCCAGCAGTTGATTTCAATTTTGGGAGCTCTTCAAACAAAAAGGTTAAGACAAGTACAAAGTCCATGACCTAGCTTGAACAAAAGATGAAAATCAAGTCGAGAAAAATGGTTGAAAAATAACTCGACAATTATTAGAGCAAATAAGACATGGACATAAAAATATACAAGCAATGAACCATAATCAAAGAACAAATTTTGTAGGCATATCTAAATTATAACAATTTAAAACTCAAGAGAACAAAAAAGGAAATCAAGCAGCTTATTAGCACCATCATTAGCCCTATCATGAATACTAGGTGTCAGCATATGAATCTTCCTTCCAGTCAAATAGATCGCTAATGCATAACAGTAGATTAAAAAAAAAAAAAAAGCAATAACACTAGTTTGTGCAAGACCTTTTCTATTGAATTATTGGTCAACCCCTTTTTATTTGAATTACATATCAATTAAATGTTTGTTTGGCAATGTGTAAGGCGTAGAAGTAGGGAGAAGTGGAACAGTTCGGCCACTTGAATGCGGGGGCAGGTGGGATGCAACTTTTACTCTAAGAAGCCGCAAGTAAAATTTTTAGTCATTTGCCTTTGGGATCATATACCTCCAAGTCACGCTTTAAGAAGTCATTAAATATTTTTTTCTAAAGAACAAAAGCTTATACCAAATATTTTTATAATTGAAAAATGGGATATATGCTTACAAATAATATAGTTTCCGAATATAACATATTCTAATATACATTAAAATTACAAATATGTAATATTAAAATTATTTCATTATTACTAATCCACACCTGAAAAATTAAATTGATGGAAGGCATGATATAATAGATAATAAATCATCAAATTCTTCTAAACAGAACATGCATTACTTAAAATAAAAATTATAAACTTATTATAATGCTTAAATTATTAGAAAATATTATCATATAGTTGCAATGTATAAATCTATTTTATATTTTATACACAAAAATTCATAAAGTATGTAGCAATATCCAAGTAAATGTGTGCTAAAAAATTCATGTGTGTGATATGCATCATATTTATACTTTAGTAAGGGAGAATATTATATTACAATTTATTATTATTATTATTATTATTATTATTATTATTATTATTATTATTATTATATATATATATAATATATACACACACACATATATATATATATATATTATAAATGCCTAAGGGCTAATTTTATTGAAATTGAAAAGATACGTAGAGGTTGCATGAGAGGACCCAAAAAAGGTGTCCTACTCATACAATACATCAGACACTAACATCCTAAAAGGATGAAACATAAATAAAACACAAAAAAATAAAACTTGCAGAAAATAAGTTGCTAGGCACGAGTCAGCTTGGTTATTGCATAGTTATTATTGAGGCAGAGATTATAGTGAAAGTTTTTGGTACCTTCTATTGAGGCATACATTTGTTGTTACAAGTGGAATTTAGTTTCCCGTTAAGGCCATCTTTCTTTCCTATAAACTGCAAAAGATGGTACGCATGTGGAAATACTCATATTATGAGGAATATGAATTGGGTTTGGGCAGAGATGGAAATATGTTGATGCGGAAATTGAAAAACGGTGATATATTGAGCATTATAAGCTGCATCATATGGGAAATGTATGGATAATATTATAAGCTGCATTAATAATAGATTTCCCGTTAGTATTGGGAAATCTATCATGTAGAAATTACTCATATTATGAGGCATATGAATTGGGTTGTTTTGGTGTTTCTTTTATTAGTTAAAATTTATAGTTTGCTCTCACTTTTGAATGTTAGAAATGATGGAGAAATATTGGAATGCAGGAATGTTTCTTTTGATGGAATTGTTAGCTACAAAAAAAACACATGTTAATGGCTTCCACGATATTTCTGCTATTATATTCTCATTGTGCTTTGCAATATATAGTGGGGAAAGCTTGGTAATGTTGTTTGAAGGTTGGCCGAATTTTAGCTATAAGTATGGAGCTTGTTTATTTGAGAGCATGTTGTAGTAAGCTTACATATTTGAGAGCTTAATCGTAGCTACGTAATCTTATAGATTTGTCTAATAAAACTTTTGTGGATTGTCTTCTATGGATGTAGATCATTAGCCGAACCACATAAATCTCTTGTTTACCATTTTTTTTTTGTAAATTAGAACGTTGTGAAAATGATGTTGGTTGTCGAGAATTATTTATAATATGTTCTTTTTTTAATTGCAAAATATAATTTCATAACTTGTGGAATTGTATGGATGACGGTGGGCTATTTTTTTAAGCAAATACTTATTTTCCTTTGTTCCCAAGATTTCAATGTCTAAGACGACTGAAAGGGGTCCCTTTGTAATGTGGGATAAAAAAGTTACCAATATATTTTGCGATATATGTATTAAAAAAATTGAACTGGGAAACAGACCAACTACGTATTTTAATAAGAATGGTTGGCAAAGTATTGCTAAGAGGTTCAAAGAATTGACTGGAAGATAATACGACAGACTTAAATTCAAAAATAAATGAGACTAATTGATGAAAAAATGGAAAATATGGAAGGAGCTGAAACATGGCTCAACCGGATTGGGTTGGGATCCCGTTAAACGAGCTATCGATGCTCTAAATGAATGGTGAGCTGAAAGATCGGAGGTACTGAATACAAATGTCTTTTGTTAATTTCATTATTTTGTAGTTAATGCCTAACCCTCTCTAATAAATGTCTTTTATTGCAGGTAATGCCAACTGCCAAAAAATATATGCAGTGCGAAATTGAGCCAGAGTTCGAGGAAAAACTGTACATAATGTTTAAGGGGGTTGTCGCGACTGGAAAAAATTCGTTCAACCCAAGTGAAATGAGATTTTCAGAAATACCATATGATTTGTCACCTGAAAAGGTCATAACTGATAAAAAAGGGTCTAGTATTAACAAAAAGAAGATTGGAGAGTTCAGTTCCATATCCAAGAGGCCTAGGCTTGGCAGGAGGATGAAAGAGAATGATAGTTTCTTGAAAAACTCATTTCATGAACTAATTGATGTTTTGCAGCTCCACCTCCCCTAGACAGCACCATCTGGGACTGTGTTGTCATTTTAGAAACTATTCCAGAAGTAGCTGCTGATATACGCTTTCAGGAAAAATGTATTAAAAAACGTGAGGAACTCACTCGTAGGTAAATGTTCATGGCTATACGGCCCGAGCTGCGCCTTGAATATTTATGTGTTTTAGTAGAATAATGAGACTATTTTGTAAAAATCTATCAGTAGATGGTTTTCATTTTATGTACTTCATTTTCAGATGCTTTGTATTTCATTTGTTGTACTTCATTTCCTGATGCTTGGTATTTCATTTTATGTACTTCATTTTCTGGATTTCATGTATTTCATTTATGTCATTTTCCTGATGTTTTCCTCACTATATGTATTTCATACTAATGTTTCATTATGTTGTCACAACTTTTCCATAAATTATTTCATCCTAATGCATTTATAACTTCAGGATTGATCCACTACGAGAACGTCGTAAAAAAATGGCATGGGCTGCAGCAATAGCGATATTATTATTAGAATATTACTACTCCAGTACTAGATGAATACCATGGATGACGTCCTCATATGTTGGGGACAAATGGGTGAGTGAGATATTTGTTAGACATCCAATAAGGTTCAATAAGGTTCAGCAGCATTTTTCAAATGAGTGCACTCACTTTTATGGATCTTCTACATGATTTATGTTGTAACCACGACCTTCAATGTTCTTCTAGAACAACCACGAGAGAGGTTTTGGCTATAACATTATATATTCTCTCACAGAATGAATTAGTTAGAGGATAGTTAGAGGAGCTATGGAGCTATGGAGCGATTTCAGCATTCCTCAAAAACAATTAGTCGATACTTTTACAAAGGTATACAAGCACTAGAGAGCTTAGCAGCCCAAAACATTAAGCCATCTGATCCATCGTTCGCAACTATTCCTGAACAAATTGCAAATGATCTCCGTTACATGTTGTATTTCAAAGTAAGTTTGATTAGTTTGTTGCTTTTAGTTCAATACCTGTGGAATTGCTAACAATGAGTTACAGAACTGCATTGGAGCAATTGATGGTACGCATGTGGATGCCCGACTACCAAGTCATGAAAGGATCGCGTATATTGGTCGGAGTGATAAAACTACCCAAAATATGATGGCAGTGTGTGACTTCAACATGTGCTTCATATTTGTAATGACGGGGTGGGAAAAAAGTGCACATGACAGTCGTCTTTTTTTTCCTATGCAACTAGGAATAGAACACAGTGCTTCTCTCATCCACATCCAGGTTTGTTCATCTTAATTAAACATCTTGATAATTACATTAATTATTTTTAATTAATATTGTCTTTCATAACAAGTATTATTTGGTAGATGTTGTGTATCTGATGCTAAGGGACTACCTGAAGCTCTATCCAGACACCAGATACCAAACAGTTGGCACAATTCGTGGCAGAAAAGAAATGTTTAACAAACGACTCCTCTTTACGGGGGGGGTTATTGAAAGAACATTTGGAGTGCGGAAGAAGAAATAGGTTATCCTACGTGATATACCCTCGTATTTATTTCCCAAACAGGTGCATATTGTGATGATCACTATGACACTTCACAACTTCATCTGACGACATCTCTCTCATTCAGATACAAACTTCAATATTGTTGATGATGATCCAATTATTGACTTCCTAATACCTTCAGGGTCTCTAGCTGATAATGAGATCGAGTCTACTGAATATGAAACTCAGGACGGTGAGGATGCAGCCGAGATGGTTGCTCTGAGGGAGTCTATAGTACATGCTATATATGACAGCTAATCCAAAAAGTCTTTCTTTTCTTCGTATATATGTGGATCAATTTTTATGTGTATTTTATTTTTTTCGGATAAGTTCTGACATTCATTTTTTTTTTTATTTTTTTCGCAGTTATACAAACATGAGTTCTAGCATATCAGTTACAGACAGAGGTATTTTGTGTTATTGTGGACTATTGTCTTCGTTGCTCACGTCACGCAGTCTCATAGCTTTGGGAGACAGTTGCCAAGGGTATTTCAGCTCGTTGCGATTTCTTCC